ACAACAGACCACTTGCTAGGAGCTCTGCCCCTTCACCACCTCAACTGGGAAAGCCAGGCTCTGGGCTACTCAGCACCCACAGAGCCCCAGCAAGGCCCCAGCAAGGCCCCAGCAAGGCCCCAGCAAGGCCCCAGCAAGGCCCCAGCAAGGCCCCGACACACACAACTGTACTGACAGCAAACATTACTACTGAATGAAAAGAGGTTAAAACATGGAAAATGAAAATAGGACAAGGTTCACAGATTTTTTTCAGAGCAACATAATTTCCAAGGAGAACCACCTTGGCAGCAGTTGAAAATAGAAGGAAATCTCAGGTGAATCAGCAAGGCAGAGGAAAAAAGAAAGGTAACCTACTTGGTGCAGTCAACCAGCCCCTCCCCCAGCTCCCTCTCCCCTTTCATTTAGAGCCGGGAAGAGCTACAAAGGGCACGGGAGACTTTAAAGGTCCGGGCCCAAGGGACAGAGAACCACAACAAAGGAATACCAAAGATCCACCACCGAGCCCACAACAAACACGGAATTTGATATCACTCCCATTAAGTGTTAAAATTCAATCTAATTCTTCCTGGTCTAAGTAAGCCTGAAGTCACAACTTCTGAGAGCAAATAAGTTGTTTAGCCAAGTTTATTTCAACTACATTGCCCAGGAAAACAGGGAAAACAGCTGCCAAATGCTTCCTAAGACATTACACTCCCACTAAAATAAACAAGCAAAAACACATTAATGGGGGGTGGGGGGATGGAGAAAGCTTCAAAACCAAAGCCAGCACACAGAGGCAGGCGTTTCTATGATGTTCACCACATCAGGGTCCAAACATTTACACTTTACACTACCTTCAAGTCAACTCTGAAATGAACAATAAAGAAACTGAACACAGGAGTTTCCATCCATCCCAAACGAGGAAAGGCATGAAGCCACAAACACATTCAGTGACATGTCTTAGGAAAACTTCCAGGTTATAGACTGACGTCAGTTGGGCATACTCTTCTTTATTTTTCCTTCTTAACTGTAATCAGCGAATATTTTCTAATTTCTGCTGGCAGTGACTTGAGACTCGACTTCTTCACAAATGGATGCTGCCTACCTTAAAGTAGGAAGTTAACAGCAGTTGACAAGGCTGTCTCTTACTCAACAATGCTAGGAAGTTGAGCGCAATGACATGCACGCTATGAATTCATCTGTCCATGCAATCACTCGATCCAGTTAGCAGAAATGCCTAATTTGATGAGAAGCACAAGTTTTCGCTAAGGGATCTACAAACTGAAACAGTAGGGAAAAGTTAGCAGACACAGCCAACTTGAGAGAACATGGACTGGGGGTCAACCACCCCTAGCATTAAATCCAACTGCACCATCTGAACATTTTGTGGCGAATTATACTGCCTTGCACACCTCCCACAGACAGCCCCCACTGCCTACCTGACAGGGTCAGCCTGGAATATATAAGACAGAAAGCACCTGCCAGCTCCCAGAGGACCTGCCTTGGGGTCTGGAACCGGAGGGCCAACAGCGGGGGTCCTTGCAGAGCCCAGACCAACGGCAGTGGGCACAGCACCTCTCACAGTGCCTCTTTAATTTCCAGTTTCTGTTGATGTGGCAAAAGACAGCCCTTCGGTGTGGGCTCTAATTAACAGTATTCCTCCTCATTTCTCTTACTTCCACAGCCCCAAGACCCAAACTCTTCCCTAGCAAAGGCATGTTGAAGTCCAGAAAACAAATGTCTAGAAACTGATACAATGGCTCAATTGGCTAATTCTCCACCTCCAAGTGCTGGCATCCTACAGGGGCACCGGTTTGTGCCCTGGCTACTTCATTACCCATCCAGCTCCCTGCTAATGACCTGGGAGAACAGCAGAGAACGGCCCAAAGCTTTGGGTGCGCAGACCCGCATTAGAGGCCTCAAAGAAGCTCCCCCACTCCTGGCTTCAGACTGGCTCAGCTCTGATCATCTGCGGAGTAAACCAGCAGATGGAAGATCTTTCTGTCTCTCCTTCTCTGGGTAAATCTGCCTTCCCAATAAAAATAAGTAAATCTTTTTTTTTTAATGTCTCCAGGTAGCCATTTCCCTGTTTGCAGGACAGTGACTTTACACTGTAAATGCTGTAAGTGAAATTAAAGCACATCCAGTCCTGGGCCGCTCTCGCTTGCCTCCAGTTCACATTCTCTGCCCTGTTTACATAAATAACTCTGAAACTGAACAAGCACAAATTATCTTGACTAACTTCATCTAAATGTGTTGAGTCAGAAATTCTTTGTAGTAACACTCCTGGAAGTTGTGGCAGGAGGATTCCTCTGTCAGCTGCTCCTGACAAGGCTGCATCGCTGTATGTGAACTGCTGCATTTATTCAACAGGTTGACAATCAGAAGGGGCATTAGTGACACCTCCTTTCAGCAGGAAGCCCCGCTGGATGTTCAGCAAAGCTGGAAAGGCTGCCAAGGCACAGGAAGCAGCTCCGCACGCTCGTCTCAATCAGGTGCGGAGAACACAGGTATCAAAAAGACCCCTGAACATTCGCAGGAAAAAGACAATGATGAAAATGTTTTAAACACCTTCCTGATGTAACTGATGGGAAAATACAATCCCCACGAGGGGCCACTCCATTTACATCAGAGTCCCCCACGTTAATAACCAAAGCTGGCATCTGTTTAGTGAAAAGATCTTACCAGCCGCCAGACAGGATGGCCATCATTTTTTGTGACATCCACAAGCCACTTCGATTCCCTCACAGCATGGAAAAACTTTGTCCCGCGCACACACACTTTCATCCCCCACACAGCTCAGTGCCTTCTCTGCTTCTAACTACTCCCAACGATCGCAATCACCGACCTCGCAGGACAACAAAACTGAAAACAAAAAGAAATCACAACTCCAAACCAGCAGGAGAAACTCCACTTATGAGCAAAACAGCATAAACCCACATCACAGGCCTAATGGCTCCCCGGCCTGGGTGCCTTCTGCTGCCCCTCCCCCACAGGTAAGCCCTAACTATTTCTAGAACTCTCAATGACAATTTGGGAAGCTTGCCATCCGCTCCCATGATACAACCCAACATTCACCATGTTTTCATGGAGACAAGGCTGCCCTACTTCTCCAGACTATAAACTTACGGAAAACGGTGAGAACATGCAGTCCCACCAAGTCAGGATTACTAAAATACACCAAGGTAACGCAAGACTGACTGAACAAATGTGAAAAAGGGATCACATTGCAAACCGCCCCCCCATCCCCTCCCCCAAAAGTCACTCCACTGTCTTCCCAGGGTAATCGGGCTATTTACTGCAAGTGGTTCTAGGCTGGAAGGATACGCACACCACGAGGGCCTGAGAGGATCCACACTAATGAAGGACTCTTCAGGGGAAGGGAAAAAAAAAAAAAAAAAAAAAACAGGAGGAAGATGATTACTTAATTATGTAGGGGGAGGGGAAGAAGCTCTCCGTGTAAAAATCTAGACTAAAAATAACCCATCATTTCACCCACCGTATTTTATTAACAAGATGTTTAGATGAGCATAAGGTTTTTGTTTGGGAAACAAGAAAAGCAAGAGTAAACTTCTCCAACTCGACCGTAAATCACATAGGTACTAAAACTCTTAACCTCTGGGTCCTGCACCAGCCAAGACCTCAACTCCAGGCACGGAAAACACCCAGTTCTTAACCGGGCTCCCACAGCTCACTTATAATCACCACATTATTTTACAAATCGCCGGACAGCCTAACAAAGAGAACTCTTTTTTTTTTTTTTTTTTAAGCCACTGAGACCCAAGTTTTCCATGAAGCACACCCTGTTCACAGCCTAAATGTAATCCGCCTGGCCACTGCAAAGCCACGCCGGCTTCAGCAAAGTAGGAACTTACAGAAACACTGAACACGTTCCCACACGCATGGCCTACCTTCCCCCCCTCGGGCTGCCGCTGAAAATTAATATTTCGCTTAAATAAAAAGTCTGTTTCTGTTCAAAAAAAAAAAAAAAAGACGACGCCATCGCCTGCAAAGAGGAAGTTCCCAAGAAACCACCCTGCTCACAACGTGGCCTTTCCACTGTCAGAAAAAGACGGTGACTCCGTGCCACCCGAAAAAACTTACCAGGAAGCTGGCAATAACTTTGCCAATTCTACACTTCTGAACCCAACTTCAAAGGGGGGCTCTACCGGATCGCTCCCGCCGAGTACTTCCCAACCACCGCGTCCCGGAGCCAGGCCCTGCGGCCGGCCGCCCCTCCCCCGCCGGCGCCCCCGCCCCGGGCGCGCGGCCCCAACGCCCGCCCGCAGCCCCCCGCACGCCGGCCGGGGGCGCCGCTGCCCATGGCAGCCCGAGTGCGCCACGGGATCGCGTGCACCCACAGGAGCCTTCTCCTCGGCTAAAAATAGGCTATAAAGGAGTCGGCCTCATGATGGCTCCTTGATTCAATTTGCTGCAAATTCTTTCCTCAAAGCCTGCCCCCCCACCACCACCACCACCCTCACCACCACTCCGCGCGCGCGCGCGCACACACACAACACACAACACACACTCACACGCACAAAAAGGGGGGGGTCCGTGCACGCAGAGGGAAGGGGACAGAAGGCCCAGGTGCCCGTTTTCGGGGCCAACAACATAATTAGGGTGAGGATTTCCCCCCCCACCCCGAGACCCGGAGAGGGTAGGGGGTGGGCAAGCACGTGAGCATTTCAAAGGCGCCAGAGAGGGAAGGGGGGGATGGGAGGGGGCACCCTACATGCCCTCCCTCCCCTCCCCCACCCAAGCCCCAGCTCCCCCAAGGGCCAAGTTGAAAAATGCACGTTTCCCCCTCGCGCCCATCCCCCCACACCACACCACACCACACCACGCGCGCGCGCGGCCCTGCGCCCCCTCCTCCTCCTCCTCCTCCTCCTCCCCGGCCCTGGCCGCCTCAGGCCCGCGCGTCCCCCGCCCCGGCCCCGGCCCCAGCCCCGACCCCGCGGCTGCTGCCCCCCACAAACTCCCGGGGTCCGGCCTCCCCCCCCCGCCCCACCAGCGCTTACCTGGAAACGGTGGCCTCCCAACGCCGCTCCCCCCCTCCCGGGAATGGAGGCACAAGGAAACTCCCCTCGTCGGCGCCGCCGCCGCCGCCGCCACCGCCTCCAACCACCCCCAAAATAACCCCTCCGGGGGGTGAGAGGCAATTATAACCCCGGCGAGCGCGGGGCGCGGGGGATGGGCGCCGGCGCGCGGGGGCGGGGAGCGGGTCCCCAGGTGGCGAGCGGAGGTGCTCCCGCCGCGGGGGGAGGGGCGGGGGCGCACGCGGCCGGCGGCGGGGGGAGGGCGCGAGCGGGGAGAGGAATTGAGGCAGAAGGTAAAAGCTGTTACTAAGGGAAAGAGCCAAACGGTTCGGAGCAGCCAACGGCTCAGACACTCAACACTGGGGAGAGAGGAATGGGGACCAGCCAGGCACAAATGAGCTCGCGAGGCCCGCGGCGGCGGCGGCGGCGGCCGCGCAGCAAAACAAACCCGAGCGGCCTGCGCCGGGGGAGGGGCCGGCGGGGGAGGGGCGGGCGGACGCGGGCGGCGGCGGGCTGGGGGGCTGGGTGTGCGCCGCACATTCTTTTTTTTTTTTTTTTTTTTTTTTTTGCTTTAAAAAAAGCAAGAAAAAAAAAATGCAGCGGGGCCCCGAGGCGCCTCCCGGCCGCGCCCCGCCTCCACCGCGCGCTCCGGGGTGAAGGCCCCGCGGACCCCGGGGGTCGAGGCTGCGGAGCCCCACAAGTTTTCCCCGGGCAGGCGGTGTGGCTTCCCCGCGGCGGACACGCGGTGGGCATGTGCGGGAGCGCGCGGCGCTGGCTTCGTCTGGACGTTTGTTTGTGGGAAGCTCTGTGCACACCTTTGTGTGCGTAAATACATATGTTTCTGGGAGGCGTCCCTTGCAAAGGGGCTTTATCCCCCCACCGCCACCTCCCGGCAACAACCACCCCCCCCCAAATGTAATCCAGAGCACGGAATCTGCAGAGAAAACACACACACTCACCCGGGAAGGGGTTTTGATACTAAACACAAAGCTGTAATTGAAGTGTTTATGCCCAAATGTACTGTGAGTCAAGCATATGGTGGGCCTGTTGGAGAGGCTTGGTCCATCAGTTTCCTCGTTTCATGAGAAGAAAGTAATGCCACGAAGTGTTTGCACCGTGCACACACATACACGCATACACATAGACCGCGCCGCAGTCACGGCGCGAGTGCATGCACTTGGCGCCTGCGTGTAGCACATCAAGGCCGCGCTCAAAGTGTAACTTAGGTGACTGGTAGAGCGATAATGGGATGCAGGGAGGGCGTGCAGCCGGCTCTTTTTCAAAGGGGAGGCACCTGACCGTCGTTAAAGCTAAGGTGGTGCTGGTCTTTCAGATTCCAGGAAACTGGGCTGGGAGGTGCGCTTAGACCTCTGCCTAAACCCAAGACATAAAAAGCAACCACCCTTGTACTGCTTTAAAAAAAAAAAAGCTAGAATTTTTGTTATGTTCAAGCGTTACTGCCTTCAAAGTAAAATAATATTTTTGCAACCGCTTTGAGTTGTGGGGGGTAGGGAATCTGTTTTCATAATTTCATCTCAGTATTTGGAAATAGATGTAGTCATTTGAAAGCAACAGCCTTTTTCCTCTCTGTATCACAGAGCTCAATGCTCTCTCCCCGCTCTGTAACATACACACGGTAGTGTTTCAAGTCACTTTCACTAACATGGACTTTGGGTGGCCTAATGGGCCCAGTTAGTCAGGTGCTTTTCTGGCCAAGGTCAAGGTCTCATTCCCCTGGTGAGCCTTTGCTGGGGGTAGGGAGCAGCCGAGGCCTTTCCCTTCTGACACAGGCAGGGAGCCAGTGGCAGGAGTGGAATTGGAAGCTGCCTTGCCACCACCACCCAGAGGAGAATTCAAGAGTGTCTGGGTGGTGTGTCCTTGGAGCAATCTTTTAGGAGATTAAACCGTATCACCCGGCGGGAGTGGAGATAACTGCTGGTGTCCAAACACTATGCTAAGCGTACAGGAAACAAGGCTAAGTGAGCCTGGCATTTCAGGAGGGTTCTAGGACTCAGGTTTGTTTACCTGGGAACTGCACTGCCTTTGCAAGGGTTGTTTCTGAAGCAGTGAAAGTGTAGTTATCTTCTGATTTAAAAAAAAGACTTTGAGGGTTGGTTGAGGGTTGGTTAACGACAGATAGTTCAAACAGTTCCCGGGAGGGTGGGCATTTGGCACCAAGGTTAAGGGTCCCTTGGCATGTCTGTCTCCGTCATCCAAGGGCCTGGTAGGAGTTGTGACTCCTTTACTTCCGTCCTTGCTTCCTACAGCTGCACACCTGCAGGCAGTTGGAGCCCTGCCACCCTCGTGGGGGAGCCAGCTGGAGTTCTTGGCTCCTGCTTCGGCCTGGCCCAACCCTGGCTACCAAAGCACTAAAGTGAATAGAAGATCTGTGTGTCTGGCTCTCTAGCTTTCAAGTAAAATTAAAATTTAAAAAATTTTTTTTAAAATGAAATGATTGGATTGTTATTTGTAGTACTTTAGAATCGAAAGGTAAGCACAGGCCTAGCAATGTGGCATAGCAAGTTAGGCTGCTGTATTCTACACCAGCATCCCCCATCAGAGGTGGCTGGCTCCCCCATCAGAGGTGGCTTGACTCATTCAAGTCTGGCTGCTCTGCCTCTGAGCCGGCTCTGCAGTAAGGTACCTGGGAATGTAACAGACAAAGGCTCAAGTCTTGTTGTCCCCAGCGTCCTATGTGGGAGATCTGGAGTTGAGAATTCTCCCAGCCCTGCCCTGGTTATTGTGGCCATATGAGGAGTGAGCCAATGAATGAAATTTCTGTCTTTATTACTCTGGCTTTCGAGTAAATCTTTTTCATAGTATATGTTTACTGTAGTGTAAAACATGTTGAAATCCATTGCTTTTGATAAACACGTCATCCACAAACTTAAAAAAATTTTATTTCCGGGGAGGGCCGGTGAGATGGCTCAAGCGGCTAATCCTCTCCCAAGCTTGAGCATCCCATATGGACACCAGTTGGTGCCCAGCTGCCCCACTTCTCACAGCTCCCTGCCTGTGACCTGGGAAAGCAGTAGAGGATGATCTGGGTCCTTGCAACCCCATACCCACATGGGAGACCCAGAAGAAGCTCCTGGCTCCTGGCTTCAAATCAGCTCAGCTCTGGCCATTGCAGCCACTTGGGGAGTGAACCAGCAGATGGAAGAGTTTTCTGTCTTTTTGTAAATCTGCCTTTCCAATAAAAATAATCTTTAAAAAAAATTGTATTTGAAAGGCAGTGAGACAGAGGCAAGCAGATGTTCCATGCACCGGCTCACTCACTCCCTAGCACTGAGCCAGGTGGAAGCTGGGTCTTCCAGGTGGGGCCCAGGTACTTGAACCAAATCCAGGTACCTGCCAGGATACGCGTGAGTAGAGAACTGGAGTTGGAAGCAGAGTCAAAACTTGAGCCCAGGCACTTCATATGAACTTTCTTGAAGATCCTTTGTGAGCATAGAATTCAAAAATTTGGCGCTGGGCCCGGTGCAGTCGCCTAGCGAAGCAGATAAAGTCCTCACCTTGAACACGCTGGAATCCCATATAGTTCTAATCCCGGTAGCTCCACTTCCCATCCAGCTCCCTGCTTGTGGCCTGGGAAAGCAGTTATGGACGGCCCAAAGCCTTGGGACCTTGCACCCGTGTGGGAGACCCGGAAGAGCTCCTGGCTCCTGGCTCCTGGCTCCAGATCGGCTCAGCACTGGCCATTGCGCTCACTTGGGAAGTAAATCATCGGATGGAAGAGCTTCCTCTGTCTCTCCTCCTCTCTGTATATCTGCCTTTCCAATAAATATAAATAAGTCTTTTAAAAAAAAATTTGGCCCTAGCATAAACTAAAGACAATCCCACTCATTTTTTGAGGTATCCTCATATGTTACTAATCTTCTCTTCCATAAATAAGCAAGTTTATCACAATTAAGATTCATTATCTGGCTCACTCCATGAAACAAATCGGTAGGCTCAGGTTTTGTTCTTATATTTCACATTATGTCATCATGGGTGGGTCTCATGCTGCCAGCCAGCAGCTACTGTAAGATCAAATCGTTCAACTATTGAAGAAGGACTTCCCAACCAAGCCAGTGCTCACTCAGCAGAATCAGCTCCAAACCAGGGAGGGGCTCCAGCCGTCTCCTTCTTGACCCCAGGGCCAGACCTGGTCTCTTTCAGGTTCATGGGGTCAATGAAACTGTCTAACACTACTATACCAAGATACCTCCTGCAGTTGCTCCATATTAGCCGAGGCTCATCATGATGATTACTCATGTGTTTGTTTACAGCCCTGTAGTTTATAAAGTATTTCCATGAGAAAGAAAAAGTGACTTTGTTTTAGTATCGGGTTAAAAAAAAAAAAGACATGTTGGGGACTGGTACCATAAACTAGTTCCACGGAAGTGCACTTCACACGTCACCATTAAATCACACACACTAAAGGCAGACCAGACACTATTACACAGGAGACAATGGGCACCCAAGGTGGGAAAGCCTTGATTCCCCCAGAGAAGAGGATCTCAAAAAATAGGTTCCGTTTTGCTCACTCTGGTTTCTATGTACTGGAACCTGTCTGAAACAGTGTGACTCTAAGCGGAGAGGTGAAGGGCCACCATCCGGAGGGCGCTGACTCTAACCTGAAAGATGAAGGACCTCCATCCATCCATCCGGAGGGCGCTGGTGCTGCTTGGCCTGTAGCTCTTGCACCCTGCTCAGCAGACAGGGAGCAGAAACTGCCCTGAAACCAAAGCAACAGTTAGACTCACTGGGTTAAGTGAGGACAAAGAAATAACTATTGTTACTAATTTTTAGTGCTTTGTCCTGACCTAAAAACTGACATTCTGTTTTGAGTATAAATGTTAATATGTTTCTAGAAAGAAGAAATTACTCTGTTACTAAGAAACTCTAAAGCAAAGGGATGCATTGTTAAGAAAGTTCTCTTGAACTTTCTATCTAATTACTCAACCTACCCGAAACCGTTACCAGAAGTTACATTTAAGAGAATATTGTAAAATAACTTAACAAATCCTGACTTGTTTCATTTGAGTAACATTACACCCAGGGAGTATGGTATGGCACTAGTTTT